AATTTCAGTCAGCCTTCTTACAAGCATTACTAGATGACGTCAGGGCGGAATGCAGCAGTCGTTCAGATGTTGAGGTCTGTCGCCAGCAACATTCAGCAAATGCACTCAAGGTATTGTTTCGAGTCGTTTGGAACCAATCAATAAATCGATCTGTTCTCATCTGTTTGAGGCAAATGCGACTGTGAAGGACCTCATGCATGGATTCGCGTCAATGATTGATCCACAAGCTTTTTGTGGCTTAGGTAAGTGCTGAAAACTAAACAGCTTTCTCGGATACGCTGTGCGACCGCACAAGTCTTTTTTTCACATTTTTTGAAGGTGTTCTTCGCACTAATAGTAAAAATGGGGAAAAAATTGAACTGTTCTTAGTCTTCGTTAGGTGTCACTTACATTTTGCATTTTTAATTTCTGTGTTTTTTTTACTCAATGAAATTATTTTTTGTTATGTGATTGAACTATTCTGCTGAGAGGCTAAGGATCTTAATATTATTGTTTGTATTTTCTCCAAAATTTTATTGTTTGTAATTTTTCACAATTTTATTAACGGGGTGGGATTCGAAGAGCAGCTTAGTCTCCGTTCCGCACGGGTGTACAAGTCTTTCTAAAATGAAATCAACCGGCTCTGCTATTATAGTCAACGGCACCCTACACCTTACTTAGCTGCGGTTACTGCGCTTGAGAACGAAAGGAAAAATGCATTGACTCGGCGAGAAAAAAGTGAGAAAAATTTTAAATTAAAAATGAGAGCCTCCCTTCTTTAGCGAAGCGTACTCACTGTGCTTAGGCGAAATACTACGTGCAGATAAGAGAGTACAAGCGAGAGAGCATATCAGACGAGAGTGCGCTGACACTACAAGTGTTCGAGCACGGTATAATCACAACCACTTGTAACCAAGCAAACAAGGCTCTAGCGCCTTTGTATAACACTTTCTATGTTATATTAAAGAACTGCCAACCCCACTCATTCCCCCCCCCCCTCCCACGTGAGCAATTTTTTCCGATGACCTATTTGTGGATCATCCCTAAAAGCGCATTCTGCAATCGAACAGGTATTGGATGTCGAGCTCGAAAATGAATATACTTTGATATTCAATGTTTACCATAACAACACCAAGGACTGACCGATGAGATTCCCCAGGGGCAGGGCACACCCCGCCCATGGAATCAGCGCGAAATGCGATATTAACAACTCTTAGCAGTTTTTTGTTGCGTTTCTTTTCAATTTTTAGGATTGGGGAAACTCAGCCCCGAATAGAGCAATGTTCCGGCTCGATTGGTCCATCGTTCTCTTTATTTCGGAGGCAAATAAGACTTCTAGAGGCGATTAAATTAATTTTCTGAATATTCCAGTCGTGAAAAATGTAGACCATATAATACGTTTCTCATGCTGATTACAGTACACTGCTATTGATTTATTGATTTTTATTGTAGAATCTCCCACAAGTGAGGTGTTCGTCGCGTCAAAATTGTATACGAATACTGAATTCCTGAATTGCCAACTATGCTACTCCTTGCTTCAATTCCTTAACACGGCCGTCGCTGGTGGTCAAACGCGAACATCACAGCAGATTTTAGCTGGTATGTTGACCTAACCAGGAAGGTCTTTCAGGGCGTGCCAAGCTTTTTGAAAACGGTCTTTTGCATGATATAGGGGCACATGCGGGAACCACAGAACCATGGTTAATTTTTCCTGAACGGCCCTCTGAATACCAGAAAAGGGGGTCCCTAGTTCGATTCCTCGTGGTGACAAATTTTTGCATTTCGAGTTGACGTTCCAAAATTCGCGCAAAATGGAGTTAGCAAACAATGAATGCCATACTCATAAGTACGATCCCATTTTGCGCGAATTTTGAAACGGAAACTCGAAATGCAAAAATTTGTCACCACGAGGAATCGATCCAGGACCCTTTCTGGTATTTAGAGGGCCGTTCAGGAAAAATTAACCATGGTTCTGTGGTTCCTGGGTGAGTAGCGTTTCTCCTCCTGGGGTCAGCTCATCGTCGCACGCGGCGACCGCACTCACCGCGTGCGCGGCGATTTGCGATGTTTGAGGTTTTGTGTTCGTCCATGCTGTTGTCCACCGTTGCAGCCCTTTATATTTGATTTGTCAAGTGACAAGGTGGCTTAGTCCCAAGCACAGCAAGGCTCCTTTATTTGGATGCATTCCATGGACAAGACGCCAGAAATTAAGTTAAGAAATTAAAAAAAACCAGCTGTGGAGGAAACTGGAACTTTCTGAAATAGTCTAAATGAGCGAACCACAGTAAACTGCGTGGTAGCGTCAACTAGTATGGGCGCCATGCGTAACATATCTCCCATAGTGCATGATCTACTCTCTTTCACGCCAATGGGGAGAAAGGGGTCAGTCAAATTAAAAACAGGTCACTCAACACAGCGTCCAAGTTGCTCATTCCGTAGTAACGAATCGGTAAAATTAACGACATTCCACTCCAACAGCCAAAAAAAAATTGAGGAGGGCTCAAACCATATCATTGTCTTATCCGCCTTATTCAAGTGCATTGTGAGTGCATGGAACACAAACTCTATAAACCGATTCCAATTGCTTCAGAATGAGCAAACTCACCTTCAATCCTTCAGTAAAACAGTAGTGGTCTAACAAATAATAGCAGTCTATCGATCGTACCTGGCAAAATGCCAGCGATGGGCCGAGCGACCCGCCACACCGCCACATCCAACCATCACATCGCCTTCGCCGCGTCGATTGCCGCGTGCGACGGCGGCCGCAGGGAGGAGAACCGCACGTCTCCCGTCGTTCCTACATGTGCCCCTACACAATGCAAAATACCGTTCTGAAAAGCTTGGCACGTCCTGAATGACCTTCCTGGCAAGTGAAGTTTATATGTGTCGGAAGGTCATTCTAAGCACCACAGAATGCGTCCATGGTGCTATAGCCAGCAACAAAAAATTTATTTGAGAGTTTTCAGGCATTGGCGCGGCTGCAAAGGCCGTGTGTGTTGCTGTAGATCTGCCAGCCCTTCTTCATTTATTAGTGCCTGGACTCGGAGACCTTGACGTGAGTTTTTATTGCCACGTAAACGCGAGCGTGGAGTGCTGGATAAGGCTGCTTTCATAGTTCGCATCGGTGCGGTCGGTGCCGACGGTGCCGACGGCGCCGACCGCACCGACAGTGTGAAGAGCGTCAACACGCGCTCTGGCGCATGACGCGTGCGCTGGGCGCAGATGGGGCGCTCCGGTCGATAATCTTGGTTTTGGTGTATTTCTTCGATGTTTTTTGCACTCACTTCATATGAATAAACAAAATTGCTTACGACCAACACACCCGGTATGGCCACATCCACCCGGAGTTGTGCGACGGTTCACGACGTCGCTCGCCCGCGGAACAACTGGAAAGTATTAATCAAGACATAAAAGGGCGCAATGTGGCTCGGAGGGGGGGGGCAGCCGCCGCGCGGGGCGTTGCGGCAACAGGAAATTCGCAAGCCAGGGGGAGTGTAGCCAATTCAGGGGGGGGTGGGGGTGAGGGCAGTCACTTAGCATGCGTGAGAAGCTGAAATGTCCCGTGAAAAGCTGGAATGTTCGAGTTACACTACATCGCTGAGCCGCGCACCGACTTCCCCCCCCGAGCCACATTGCGCCCATAAAAGAATAAGTATGAACAGGAAACACACGAATTAAAGCAACACGGCGCGAAAAAAAACATCGAAAAGCACAAGAAATACACCAAAACCAGGATTATCGATCGGAGCACGCGATCTGCGCCCAACGTTCGCGTCATGCGCCAGAGTGCGTATTGACGCTCTTCACACTGTCGGTGCGGTCGGCGCCGTCGGCGCCGTCGGCACCGACCGCACCGATGCGAACTATGAAAGCAGCCTAAGGGCGTGAGTTCTCGACGGGGTGGATGGGTCTTTTGGTTATTCACTTGTTTACTTTATTATTATTTGGTTATTACTCTCACTCCTTTCTATTGTTAGTTTGTGTTACTATGCCTGTCTAGATTCACCAAACTCTTTTTCAGTGTGATGGCATGCCGCAAGTCATTGTGTTCGTGTTTCAGTACGTTTTTATCACCTATGTGTGGGAGCACAGGCCAGCAGACATGGACGGTAAGTACATTGCCCGTATTTTAGTCTGGGGTTCTGCATTATGGGAAGAAAGAATTTTCCATATATTAGCGAGAGCAGACAGAGCGGGGCTTCCTCATTAGAGCAGGTAAACAATGGCTGGTGAGAAGTGGAAATGTGCATACCAAACAGGTAGCCTGGGTCTCCAATGGAACAAAACGCGCCCATGCGCGGCCAAGCGTACGCCGGTAGTGAAGTAAAAAGCTCCTTCCCAGGTGAGGTTACTGCTCTGTCTGCCTTCGTTGCTGCTTGGCCCAGCCCTTGGGCTCTTTCCTTTCACCGAAACGGTAGATCAGAGCGTTGTAGAGATCTCGTTAAGCGGATTTGCGGTGAAAAGTGGGGAATTAGATCGGCGATGGTAAGTGAATGCACGAAAAAGAAAAGCGTAGAAAATGGCCAGAACCAAGAAATGGACCTGCCTTATCCGTTGGGTTTGCACATTTAATGCACCTTCTTCATCCCTACTTACTCTCCCAGGTATGATCTTCGCTTTCCTTAAAGGAATCTTGCGCGGAAAAATCATGATTCTATTTCAGCCATAAATCACTGGCTTGAGACTCATTATCCACGATAATAGTGAAAAGAACTGAAGTATTGCTTTCGTTTTGATTAGAAATTCGAAAACTCGAAAAGGCTGCTACGCGTTCGAATTGCCCACGGACGTCTTTCACGAATGCTGGCGACGGGGATGCTCAAACTTGGTTCTTGGAGTGCATTCACTAGAAGCTCTTTCTGGCCTTCTGCTTCGTTGCATTCACATCTTACACTTCTACTCCATCCTATTCCATCGATCGATTTGTCTCCACTCTCCGAAATCGCGCGCTTTAACCCGATTCTCTCATTGCGTCGCCTGGTACGTAGCCGGCCAAACGCCGTCTTCTTTCCATGCCTCGCCTGGCTCTGCCTCCTGGTCCTTCGATGGTCCATAACGTGTAGTTTTTGTACGTTTGTTTCTCTTCAGAAACCGAATCTTCATGCGTGAAACTTTGTGTGCTATTTCCAGTGATCACAACTGACATATTCATGTTAGGAAAGAGTGCAAGAATTTCCGCGCAAGATTCCTTTAAGGCTAGAACAGGGTCAAGCGAGGCGTCGAGGAAAATTCGGAAATACGACCCCCCCCCCTCTGCCGAAGGCCGAAGTCCATGAAACAACCCTCTTTAAAAGCCGAACTATGAAAAAGTTGTTTAATTCTCCACCAAAACTGCTCATAAAAAAGCCCTGCTACCCCATCGTCCACAAAAAAACTCGTTTAAAAAGTATAAAAGTGAAAAAGTCAAAGAATGATCATTAATGACGAGTCCTGTCAAACGAGCAAACGAGAAACGGAGCAAAAAACGTCAAACTAGTCACTAGAAATGGCGTACTATGACAACACCTCTTCTTTGTTTATTTCCTCCACAAGACTTACCAAATTCTAGTACTACACAGATTATGGTTCTCAATTTACACGTTCCCCCTTGACGAATTTTCAATCTGAAAGCTGATTTGGGAGTTTTGTGAAGAGCTTTTTCTAATCAGTACTGAAATTACAGGAAGTTATAAGAAATAACAAATTTAGATCAAATAACGAGGAAAATTCGAGACGAGCACGAGTTTTTACACTTTCCGGAGCAATAACTTGCTTCATTTCCGTCAAATTCAAAAAGTTGATACGTCATACAAAACTAGAAGATTTTCTCTATCAAACGGTCGCTAAAGCAGCTTCATACGTCCAGTACTCAAAAAATGGCCACGTTGAGGATTTTTGCAAAATTAACGAGGAAAATTCGTGATGAGTGCGAGTTTTTACGCTTTCCAAAGCCATAACTCCGTTCAAACTCATGCAATCTGGAAAGTTAATACGTCATCATAAACTAGAAGATTTGCTCTTTCTATAGGCAACTAAAACTGCTAAATACGTTCACTATTTAAAAAATGGCCACGTTGAGGATTTTTGCCCGAGTACCGCCGAAAGGTACTTTTTCGCTACATTAGCACTATCCCAACGACTATAGCTCCTTGCAGGAGCGATTACATACTGAAGTAGGAGCAGATTCAAAATCCTCGTGCTTTTCTCTCTGCAAAAAGTGTAAAATTGTTTAGCGGGTCTCAACTTTAAAGGTTACATGCTTGTGAATTTGACGCTGAAGGCTGCGTTTCTTGTTGAATAGTGTACTCCTCTCTGTAATTTAACATGAACTCTTCAGAACCCTCTTGATTCTTCCTGAATTAAGATTCGTTATCAAGATAGCCGTAGCTGAAGCGCGCGCAACCAACTGGGCCCACTCTGGGATGCGCCGTGTGCTTCACATCTCGTTGGATTTGAGGACCTACTTGAAAGATAAAATATCCCTAGAAAACGTGCGAATTTCGGATCCTTTGACTTGTGTGGTGATGAAACACTAAAGTCACTATAAGAACTGCTAAGCGG